TATCCAAAATGTAACCACTGTTACATTGAGAACATCTGTTGGGTGTCTGACAGGTTTGACAATTTGGAACGTTGCACTGTGCTGTTTGCATTGAAAGTAACTATTGACAACTTGCGATGTTTTTTGTTTATATTGTAAATAAGTGCAATCAAAACATCAAGAAAGTTTTGGTAACCGTCGCATCGATTGTTCTGGATATTTAAAGTGAATCCAGTGTTGCAGACTGCACATACGTTGGGTGTGTTACACAAGAAACAATTGGCAACGTTGCACTGGACTGAAAAAAAAATTCATAAAATGGATAAAACATTTTATCAATAATTATATTATCTACATCCATTAAAGTTACAAATTAAATTTACTTAGACCTTACATAACGTTTTGCTTTTTCGGGCAAATTTTTTAATTCTTGAGATGCTTAGACTTAATTAATAACCGAAATTCAGTTCTTTTTTAGTCAAAAAAGTCGATTTTACAAATGACATAACAGACATGCAGAAATTGCAAACACACATTTGCATGTTTGTATGAGCAAACTTCATATTAAAGTGTCTTTAAATAGTTTGTTCTGGTTTGCGAAAAAACAACGCATATTGTCTGGTACCAATTTGAAACTTCAGATTATTTTTACTGTCTTATAACTTACTAATTTCTCTCACTGCATCCCGGAGCGATAAGAATTGTATACTAACCAACACAGTTTCCGTTAGCATCTAAGCTGTAACCACTTCTGCATTGGGAACATCTGTCAGGTGACTGACATTGCTGACAATTTGGAATGTTGCACTGAGCTGAAATTTATAGAAATATTATATTAAGTTGTCAAAATCAAGCAAAATAAATGTCATATTCAATTTCTTCGCCAACATTTTCCATAATGCATAAGGTAACGAAAATAAATTAGCACTAATTTAAAGAAATTACAAAAGACAACATTTTTCTTATTTAAAAAATATTTTAAATAAATTAATCATAAAAGAAAGCCAAATTTTCAAAAAAAAATAGCTAACTTTTTACATCGATATATCGTTGTAATATTATGTTGCACAATGTTTCAATAATTAAATTGTGTGAAATTCACTTAATTGTTTACAAAAATTTTTATGAGAAAGTTTTCCAATTGTAACTTTTCACTAAATCATGAAATTTTTGAAACTTTTTCTTAAATGAAAATAGAACAAAAAGCTTTTTTAAATTTAATAACTGAAGTCTGTGGCAAATCTATGGGGGCCAAGGGAGGCCATGGTTTCCCCGTTGAGAGCAGTAATTATAAATTTAACAATTAAATTAAATTTGTAACAGTCAGTAAAATTCAATACCACAAATCTTGACCACCCCGCCAAAATTATTGAAAAATTAAAAAATTTGAACATTTTCAAAATTTCGCCCGCCCCCGTCAAAGTTGTTTAAATCCGCCTCTGACTGAAGCTGGAAAAAATCGTTAATAATTTGTTACTTCAGATAAATCAGCAGATGAAATTTAAATTTTTTATCTGTATTCAGTACTGCATTAAAAAATTTAGTAGAAATTAATTATTCTGTACTCACAGACGCAGTTTCCATTGCTGTCCAAGTTGTATCCGCCATTGCATTGGCTACATTTGTTGGGGGTTTGACATTGCTGACAGTTTGGAACAATACACTGGGCTGAAATTCGAAAAAATATACAAAAAATTGAAAAAAAAATTGAATAGTTTGGAATAAGTTGAAGTACAACCATATTTGAAGGCATTAAATAGTTAGTACGCTTCTGACAATTTTTTTAAGTAAATATCGAGTCAATCTGGATAACGCCATAAATTTTGTATGACACATTAAAGTAAGTTACTTTCATATTTATTTGTTTCAAATGATTCCTTTCTTTTGAAATTTATTTTAATTAAAATTTTGTATGAATTCGCAAGAGGTACCGAAGTAAGCATGCTTTCAAAAACATGAACGAACATTATACCTATTGATTTTATTATAAACAATCAACATTTAATTGCTACGTAAAGGAGTCTTTCAAAAGAACAATCCTCAATTAAGCGGAGTACCCCACAAAAAACTAAAAATGATGTCCTAATGAAACGTCACATGAGAAAAAACAAAAGATGAAAAAATTGGTCCAAATAGTGATAGTTTTTTTTCAGTACTAACGAACGCAGAGCCCATTGCTATCCAAGCTGTAACCACTGTTACATTGTGAACATCTGTTGAGTGCCTGACATTGTTGACAGTTTGGGACATTGCACTGAGCTGAAATAAAAACAAAAAAGTAATTTAAAAAATTAAAAAAAAACATCTTTCTCGTGAATTTCAAAGTGACACAATTTTTTGCATGTCACTTCACTAGAACATCAGGCAAAATTGCACAAACTAGGTCAAAATATTTTATACTAATTTTAAAATTTTTGTTTTTCTACTCACCAACACAGTTTCCGTTGTTATCCAAGTTGTAGCCACTGTTACACCGAGAACACCTGTTAGGTGATTGACAGGATTGACAGTTTGGAACGATGCACTGCGCTATGAACATTGAAATTTATTATTGCTCATTATTTTAATATTTATTTCAAATTTTAAACAAAACACGTTAATAACTTCAAATCAATAAGTAAAAATTTCAACCTTCGCATCTGTTGTTAGCAACATTCAAAGTGTATCCATTGTTGCAAACTGAACACACGTTCGGTGCGTTACACGTCAAACAATTGGCAACGTTGCATTGAACTGGTGGTCAATTATTTCAAATTGACGTTCAGATTTGTATTTGAATATAAAATTTATTGATATTTTAGAAGGCAAATCAATCCATGTTTTCTAGAAAAATAATTCAAAATCTCTCATTAATCATTAATTTCGATGTATATTTTTGGGAAGTTATCAAAATTTGTTGCGTCTCACTTTTGAGATTGACACTATTTAAATTGAAATTTTTACGGTTGCTTCGTGCACGGTTCTGCAACAAATACGATGCTTGGCTCGCAAATAC